GTTCCAGTTGCCCATCTCCTTGCCTGCATTTGGAGTTACCAACCTTTGAAAATTTTAGCCACTCTAGTGGGCATGTGGTTATATCTTATTGTGGCTTTGATTTGCATTTCTTTGATGGCTAATGATGTTGAGTTGATGGAATCTGTCATTTACTTATATTTTTGCCCACTTACTAGAATATAAGTTCAAGAAAGTAGTGACCTTGTGTATTTTGTTTACTAATCCATGCTGATTGGCACATATTTTTCTGCTATATATCTATATATCCATGGTTTATTTGTTTTAAAGGTTGAGAGAAACAGAAAGAGACAAAGACAGAGATCTTCCATCTCCTGATTCATTCCCCAAATGGCTGGAACAGCCAGGATTAAGCCAGGAACAAGGAACTCTGTCCCTGCCTCCTATGTGGGTGGTAGGGGTCCAAGTACATGAGATATTTTCTGCTGCTTTCCCAGGCACATTAGCAGAAACCTGGGTAAGAAAGGAGTAGCTGGGTCTTGAACCAGCACTCAGATAAGGGATGCTTGCATTGCAAGTGGTGGCTTAACCTGCTGTGCCACCATGCTGGCCCCTCTGCAGTATATATTTGATGACTGAGTGTATGGCAAATGCCAATATAAGTTCCTTACTGACTTTTCAGGTAAACTGTAGAGGCATTATGCTAGAAGTATACTTGGCAACTCTCTGGGCCGGTGCTGTGGCGTAGTGAGCTAAGCCTCTGCCTGCAGTGCCAGCATCTCATATGGGCTCTGGTTCATGTCCTGGCTGTTCCTCTTCTGATCCAGCTCTCTGCTCATGGCCTGGGAAAACAGTGGAAGATGGCCCAGGTGCTTGGGCCCCTGCCCCAACATGGGAGACCCAGAAGGAGCTCCTGGTTTCTGGCTTCAGATCAGCCCAGCTCCGGCTGTTGAGGCCATTTGGGGAGTGAACCAGCAGATGGAAGACCTCTCTCTCTGTCTCTCCCTCTCTGCCTCTCAAATAGATAAATAAACAAATAATCTAAAAAAAAAACCTTATTAAAAAACTTGGCAGCTCTCTCTGAAAAGGCAACATCATAAGCCTATTTTGAGTCTGGACCCAAGGCCCCAAATGACCAACTAGAACCATGGTTACAGAAACCTGCCTGGCACCTGCAGACAATGATAGGTCATGGAGACTGTTAGGGCTAAGTTACTACTGGGTTAGAATTATTGGTACAGGCTGAAAAACATGAGGCAGACATAGCAGTTAAGGTGGAAACTAAGTTAGGACTTCACAGGAACACCACTGGGCAAAAGTCAGGAGCAGAGGAGAGAGCTGTGTGGAGGTCAAAACAAGAATGAGTCCACACCAGGCCAGCAGGGAGGAGCCTAGGAGGGCAAAGGAGCCAAACACTCCAGCGACTTCAGAGGGTTGAAGTCCAGGAGCCAGAAGCTTCCATTTTGCACTAGAAAAAAATTTTATTTTTTTTTATTAAAAAAAAATTTATTTATTTACTTGAAGTCAGAGTTACACACAGAGAGAAGGAGTGGCAGAGAGAGAGAAAGAAAGAGAGAGAGGTCTTCCATTTGCTGGTTTACTCCCCAGATGGCCGCAATGGCCAGAGCTGCACTGTTTCGAAGTCAGGAGCCAGGAGCTTCTTCCAGGTCTCCCACATGGGTGCAGGGGCCCAAGGACTTGGGCCATCTTCTGCTTCCCCAGGCCATAGCAGAGAGCTGGATCGGAAGAAGAGCAGCCGGGACTAGAACCGGTGCCCATATGGGATGCCAGCACTGCAGGCAGTGGCTTTACCCACTACGCCACAGCACTGACCCTGAAAGAAACTTTAAAAATAAGACAGCAGTGGTGCCGCGGCTCACTAGGCTAGTCCTCTGCCTTGTGGCGCTGGTACATGGGGTTCTAGTCCCGGTCGGGGCGCCGGATTCTGTCCCGGTTGCCTCTCTTCCAGGCCAGCTCTCTGCTGTGGCCCGGGAGTGCAGTGGAGGATGGCCCAAGTGCTTGGGCCCTGCACCCCATGGGAGACCAGGAAAAGCACCTGGCTCCTGGCTTCGGATCAGCGCGGTGCGCCGGCCACAGCGGCCATTTGGGGGGTGAACCAACGGCAAAAGGAAGACCTTTCTCTCTCTCTGTCTCTCTCTCTCACTATCCACTCTGCCTGTCAAAATAAATAAATAAATAAATAAGACAGCAACACAAGTGAAGAAGCAATGTGTCCCAAGTATCAAGAATCTGCCAGGGGCCAGTGCTGTGGCGCAGCAGATTAAGCCATTGCCTGCAGCAACAGCATCCCATATGGGCACTGTTTCAAGTCCTGGCTGCTCCACTTCTGATCCAGCTCCCTGCTAACGCACCTGGGAAACATCAGAGGATGGCCCAAGTCCCTGGGCCCCTGCATCCATGTGGGAGACCTGGAAGAAGCTCCTGGCTCCTAGTTTCAGCCTGGGCCAGCCCTTGCTGTTGCAGCCATTTGGGGAGTGAGCCAGCGGATGGAATATCCCCATCTCTCTCTGTCTCTCCTTTTCTCTGTAACCCTGCCTTTAAAAAAAAAACAAAACTACAAGACTCTTCAAATTTTCTTAACAAAGGGACTTTCAGTCAATACGGCAGCCTGAGCTTACAATGGCTTGACTTAGGATTTTCCAACTTTACAGTGCGGCAAAAGCAACACGCATTCAGTAGATACTGTATCTGGGGTCTTGAATGTGGATCTTTTTGGGGGCTTGCACTTTGCTTTGTATGACGCTGGATGGTGGCAGCAGCCATAGCTCCCAGGCAGCCCCGTAGTCACAAGGAGAGAACAACCAACGCTCTAGTGTGTTGCCGTGCTGTGATGTCCAGGACGTTAGGTGGCATCAATGCATTTACTACTCAGTATATTTTCAATGTGTGATGAGTTTGAGGTGTGACCTCATTGTAAGTCAAGATGCACCTGCACAGGAAACCTTGTCGTCTCCCCCACTAGGTCCTCTCTCATGCACATAGAAGTGCAAGACAAAGTCCTATCATTATATTGATGATCATGAAACAAGAAAGGAGATTTTCCTATGTGCTAGACATGAGCGGTGAGTAGGAATTGAAGCCATGTGACACCCCCTCCCCTCAGAGTCCATGAGTTTGCGTGTGATTGTAGGACAGCAGATAGGGTTCACTTAGCTGAGTGAAGAAATCGGAAGGGCAGAAATTAGGCCGGTGCCGCGGCTCACTAGGCTAATCCTCCGCCTAGCGGCGCCGGCACACCGGGTTCTAGTCCCGGTCGGGGCGCCGGATTCTGTCCCGGTTGCCCCTCTTCCAGGCCAGCTCTCTGCTGTGGCCCGGGAGTGCAGTGGAGGATGGCCCAGGTGCTTGGGCCCTGCACCCCATGGGAGACCAGGAAAAGCACCTGGCTCCTGGCTCCTGCCATCGGATCAGCGCGGTGCGCCGGCCGCATCGTGCTGGCCGCGGCGGCCATTGGAGGGTGAACCAACGGCAAAGGAAGACCTTTCTCTCTGTCTCTCTCTCTCACTGTCCACTCTGCCTGTCAAAAAAAAAAAAAAAAAAAAAGAAGAAATCGGAAGGGCAGAAATTAAGCTAAAAACTGGTTCACAGTTGATAGATGCCACACATCCTTGGTAGGAACAATCACAAAATTCCATGACCCCAACTCCCCAGAGGGATGCCTCCGTATGCCTCTGCACACAGAGAACTTGCATCAGATGGTGCCTGCTGAAGGCAGACCCTCCACAAATATTCCAAAGCCCATGAGGGGAAATTCCACCTAAGTTACTTTGGATACGAAATCAGCATGCAAGGAACCATACAGTAGAATGGACAAAAGTAGTTGGATCCGTAGGGAAGACTGGAATTCCCTGAACATGATAGGTGGCTTGGAAAGAGAACCAAATAAAAATCCTGCCTGTGAAACTTATGGCCATAATTGTTTTTAAGTCTGAAAGCATATGATTATGTGTTTATCACCTTTGATCCATTCATTCTACTCCTAGAAACTCATCCTAAAGGAAACAACCTGGATTTCAAACAAAGGCTTTTGTGCAAAGAGGTTTACTGCAGAGTTACCTAGAATCAAACACTGGCAGCAGGCCAGTGGTGGAGGAGCAGGTGAGGGAACCATGAGACGGGAGGGAGAGAGTGTGCGTCCTGGAGTCAGAATGACCAGAGTTAGAATGACTGGAACATCCACTTGAGTCTTGGGCCAAGCACTTCACCTGTTCTGGCTTTAAGCAGTAGCATGTTTTCCCCAGGGAATTAAGGGATCTAGAGAGAACGATGGTGAGTGCCCTGTGGGGAAGGCCCTCCCTACATTGACACTTTGGTCACCAGTACCCACACAGTGCAGTGCTATGGTCGTGAATGTGAGTGACTGGGCCGTGAGAACAGCACAGTACCAAATGGGCCGTGTGCATGTGTGATCTGACCTCAGGTGAGCCTTGTGAAAGAATGGGGTAGGTGAGGGGAAATCCATCCGAGGGTCAGCACTGATTATCAGAAGGTAGAGGGACTGTTACTTGTACCCTCCCTGCACTGTTCCCTGTTTGATCATTAAAAAGATGGGGCCAGCAATGTGGTGTCCTGGGTTAAGACACCGCCTGTGATGCCACCATCTCAGAGGGGCACTGGTTTGAGTCCCGGCTGCTCCACTTCTGATCCAGCTCCCTGCTAATGTGCCTGGGAAAGCAGTGGAAGATGGTGCAAGTCCCCAGACCCTTGCACCCACATGGGAGACCCAGATGGAGCTCCTGGCTTCAGCCTGGCCCTGGCCCAGCCCCAGCTGTTGTGGCCACTGGGGAGTGAATCAGCGGATGGAAAGATCTCTCACTATATCTCTCCTTTTCTCTCTGTATCTCTGCCTTTCAAATAAATAAACACATCTTTATAAAACATTTTTAAATCCTATCATTGCCTAGCTGTTGAAGGAAGGCCTTTTCCCTCATCTTGTTGCCTTGGGAACCCAAACTAGTCTGGCTCACTGCAGAGGATCAGTTCCAGGGCCGAGGGTGGCCTGAGCCTACCTGGGGCGCTGTTACCTGAAGTTGTAGCCAGGGTACAAGGACTCATTGGCGGTCTTGTCATCCAGGCGGCGGAAGCTGTATTTGGGACGGCAGCGATGGAACCACCTGTCCAAGTTGCAATCCCAGTAGATCTCAATGCCCATGATCCCTCCCTGCAGGGGACAGGAGACAGACTCTGGGGCCAGCTGGATGCGGTCACGCAACCTCCAGGCATCTCCCCGCACAGCAACAATCCCTGAAGGGAGGGTTTTCTGCTTCGAAGAAAAATGCTGATTACAGGTTTCAGAGCCTTAAGCACAGCCCTAATCTGCGGGGTTAGACTCCTGCAGCACCTGCAAACGCAGCTCCCGGCTCTTCCTCCCGTCTTCTGAAACCCAGCTGCTTAGACCTGTTTTCCTTTCATCAAACCACTCTTGCACCCAAACACCCTGTTAAAGCGGAGTTGAAAGTCGCTAATGGGATGCAGAGCACTCCTTCCCATGCCTCTCCCACCTTATCTTCAGTCCTCCCTGGAGAAGTTCTCGGTAGATGGCAGATGTGCTTAAACCAAGGCTCCTGAGATGGGGAGATTATCCAGGTGGACCTTTTACGCCCCCTCTCATCAAAGCTCCCTCTCAGAAAGATAAGCGCCTTCATAAGAGAGAGGCAGGGGGAGCCATGACCGCTGATGCAAATGCTAAGCTGTGCGCACGCTTTGAAGGTGGAGAAAGGGACTCTGAGCTGAGAAGTACAGCTTTGCAAGGTGGAAAGGCCCAGAAAGTGGACTCTCCCTAGAGCTCTGGAGGGCGTGCGGCCCTGCAGACACCTTGATTTTGGCTCCGGGAAGCTACTTGCAGACTGCCGCCCTCCAGAGGCATATGGAAGTCGGTGCTGATGGAAGCCACGGGGTTTGTAGTGATTGGATCCAACAGCCACAGGAAGCTCCTTCCCCGGAGTCCACGCTCAGAGTCGGGTGGGGTGAAGTGAGCCAAGCCCTCAGCTCTGTGTATGGATTCGCTAGACGCTCAGAGAACACGAGCTTTCTTATCAAGATGTAGCAGCCCTGCCTCTTCCCCTGACACCCGCCCTCCGCACTCCCGTACCCCACCGTACAAAGACGCCACCAACCTGAACTGCTACATCTGAGAAACGGTCTCCTGTTTCCCGGAAGATGTCTCCCAGCCGGAAAATGGGACACTGTGGATTCTGAGTCTTGTGGAAGGTGCACGAGATGTTTAAGCCTGGAGGGATGTTCCTCCTGTGCACAGATAACACACACACACACACACACCTCAGTCGAAAACAGAGCCACCTCTTGCCCAGAGAGCAGGTGCGGTGGTGAGCACCACCTCCGGGGACCCTTGTGCCCGAGTTGGTCTGCGTGTCCAGTGTGGTGGAAGTGATGGCGTGTCCCTTCCAAGGACTGTGGCTCCCATCTTGGGCACTCTATCTCCCTCCAATCCCTTGTGTGCTTGTCTCCCTTGATCCTTGCCATGTCCTAAGGACACTTGAGCAGGGGTAGGGAGCGGTCCACGTGCCTGGAAGTAGATCCTCCTGCCATGAGATTGTACTCGGAAGAGGATCCTTCAGCCCCGGTCAAGCCTGGAGATGCCGGCAGCTCTGATTAACGATAGCTCAGCCATAACCCCAGAGACCCTCAGCCAGAACCAGCCAGCAAAGTCCTTCCCAGGGTGCTGAGCCACTGAGACAAGACATGTTGTTCCATTGGGTATCTAAGGTCTGCAGCTGTCTGTCACCCAGCCGCAGATAACCGACGCAGCTGGGCATCCTGGAACTCACGTGGTGTAGTTGTGGCCGGGGAAGTCGATGTTGTTCTTGATGAGCACGGTGAAGTTCTCGGCACTTCCCAAGAGCGCAGGCCTGGGATGGAGAAATGCAAAAGGGGTCAGTGGCTGCGGGGACCCAGGAAGCCCCTGGGCCAACGGGACCAGAGGCTGGCTGGCTCTGTGCTTTGGGACTGAACGGAGAGAAGTGGATACAGCAACTTCGCAGGGAAAGCATTCTGGAATTCTCCATCAAGCTTCTCCTAGAGTCTCTCCCTTCTTGAGACCTGTGGGGTTTACTGTGACAAGTCTCACGCTCTGACAGAATGATAACTTTGGTATGTGCTGTGGTGTGCCGGTAAATGTTTAACAACCAGCTCTCTGCGGGGGTAGGGGTTGGGACAGGGGGTGCTGAGTGTAGCGTTTGCTGATTATTATGGCACAGATACTCCCACTGTGGCTGATTTCAAGTTACCAGTGGGACATCACTGACCTTGAAGTCGGGGAGGGATGAGCACAATTGTCTCCAAGTTGGTGCCAACCAACTCCAACACTTGTTTGTAGATTTCCTAATAGAGATTTCCTAATGGGGTTCCTGCAGTCGGGACATCCTAGTCTGTAGCACGGGGCCACACACATGTAGTTTACATGTCAGCCATTCTCTAGAGGCTCTGAGTGGCATCAAGTTCTCCCTGAGTTAGAGGCGGCTGAATTCTAGACCACAGGAAGATCTACCCAGCCAGCCGGCCAGCCAGCCAGCAAGTGCATGGGCTGGGCTCTGGGGCTATAGCGACCAACTAGAAAGTCAGCACTGTTGGCCTTTTATGGCTGACAGTGTACCAAGGGTGGAGAAAGCTGTGGGTACAGAGGCACAATGGGTACCCAGTTGCTTGGCATACTTGAGTAGGTGGCAGTAAGGATTAGGAACAGCCCCGGAAAGGGTGGAGGGTGTTTGGAAGGGGGCACCACGAATGTCTGCCTCTTACTCCAGGCCCGGTTTTGACTCTGCTGGGACATTGCTGTGGTGAACAATGATGTCTGCCTGTCCAACATCCGTCCCGCGCTGGCAGTGCTGCCGCCTGTTCTCTCTGGGAGGAAGCTGGCTGTCGCATTCTCTGTCCAGAGGGTTGGGTGGGGGCAACTCCACCTCTTACCCATCCCTCCAGCTTCCTGGGTGGGCAGGTTCCCCAGGACTGGTTAAATAGTCTGGTCCACTGCCCCTAGCCTCACTGATTGTTTCATAGGTGGTCCCATGACTTAGGCAGGACAATAAGAACATTCCAGGGCTTTTGTGGGAACAGCTGTGAAAGAGAAACTCATTTTCACAGGGATTGTTAGCAGTAAGACTATAAACCTGGAGTTCCCCAGACCACAGTATAAGGAAGTCAAAATGGAAGACTGGGGTGTGTGTGTGTGGGTGTGTGTGGGTGTGTGTGTGTAATCTCGTAGGTATCATCTGAAGTCTGGATCAGGCCTAGCCTCTTCTGGATGGATCATTTACTGGAATCAAAGACACAAACCAAAAATAACACTTCCTGTTTTTCTGAAGTCAGTTTGTTGGATTTGTGTCATCTGCATCAAAAAGAATTTTCTTTCTTCTTCTTCTTCTTCTTTTTTTTTGGACAGGCAGAGTTAGTGAGATAGAAAGACAGAGAGAAAGGTCTTCCTTTCCGTTGGTTCACCCCCCAAATGGCCGCTATGGCCAGCGCACTGCACCGATCTGAAGCCAGGAGCCAGGTGCTTCCTCCTGGTCTCCCATGCTGGTGCAGGGCCCAAGCACCTGGGCCATCCTCCACTGCATTCCCTGGCCACAGCAGAGAGCTGGCCTGGAAGAGGAGCAACCGGGACAGAATCCGGTACCCCAACCGGGACTAGAACCTGGGGTGCTGGTGCTGCAGGTGGAGGATTAGCCTAGTGCGCCGCGGCGCCAGCCAAAGGATTTTATTTTCAACAAATGCCTGCTGCGTGTTGTACCCTTTGCCCTTATGTCATTCTAAACCCCACACTTCCTGGACAATGCTGAGACTCAGAGTTCAGGATCCTGAAGCCTCAAGGTCAAAGCTCTTCACTTGTCTCCCATGACACGAATTGCTTTCCCTCGGGTCACAGTTCTCTGTGTATGTGTCTCTTCTCTTCAATTAGACTGTCAGAGTCTTGGGACCTGCTCCGTCTCTGGGCCTGCCTATGGTTTTCACCAGAGTTGGCAGTTTCTTGTGTGTAGTTACGTGTCGGATGAGTATCGCGTGCCCACTACATGTCGAAGGATGTGCTGCATGAATGGTTAATGAAGGAAACTGAAGTTTAGGGGGTAGCTTGCCCAAGGTCACGTTAAAACGCAGCCCAGAGGCAGTGCACTGACGAGAGGCAGCGTTTGTGTGATGAATGAGCTGGTGGCAGAGCTGGAGCTGAAAACCACAGCCACCAAGGGGCCCCTTGTCCTGAACCCATGGCCGCATGAGTGGAGGCTGATGTCCCTCCCACAGCTGTGCGGTGCCTTCCGTGCCAGACCAACTCCCCTGACCTGGAAATGAACCCAGGTGGAGCTGTTAACGGTTGGGGGCCAGACAGGGCGGCGCTGCCTGGTGCCTCTGCCTGACCTCCGGAGGGCTGCTTGGGGCAGTTTTCTCTTCGCCCACAGAGTCTCAGGGAGCGAGCAGTCACTGTCCTGCATGGCCCCGTCAGGGGCACTGAATGACCTTAAGCAGCCGCCTCCTCTGGTCGTCCGCAGCAGCTGTGTTTCAGGTGCTCGGTTAACCACGTGTAGCGAGCCGCTGGCCCGCACAGCACAGGGCATTCCCGTTGTTGCAGAAAATGTCACTGGTAGTGCTGTTTCCAGAACTTCTGGGGCGGGTGTGTGTGTGTATAAGCCAGGCCCGGGGCTCACTTTGTAAAAACTGCCCATGTGCCATCTCATCTAATCCTTACAGCAGCCTGTGAGCTAGCTGGCATTATCCTCATTTTACCGGTGATGAGACTGCAGCAGCTCAGAGAGGTTCAGCCATTTGCCCAAGGGCACACAGCAAAGATGTGTCAGAGACGGAATCTGAGTCCCAGCCTTTGTAACTGTTTTCTGCTGGGATTTGACATCCTGGTCTTGGGTCTTGAAGAGAGGAATGGATACCGGCGACTGGCGGCTCTGTGCACCCCTGAGTGCTACTTTGAGAAAACCCCTCCCCTATCCACCTTCCCTTCCCCCTCCTTCCCTCCCAATTTCCTACCCTTAGTGACTCCGGAAGGCCACGACCAGCCCGGAAGGGTCCTCCTTTGCCCTGGAAAGTGCTGGGACCAGCGGGAGGGGGGCGGGGCACCTGGTCTGGTGAGTGGCTAGGCTAGGGATCAGCAGGTACCGAGTTGCCTCTATGTGTCAACAGCCAGCTCTGGGAGGAGCCGGAGGAGCCGAGCACTGGCAGCCCCAAGAGCCAGGAGGGCTGCATAGAGGAGGGACAGCCCCCAGCCCCACCCATGCAACTCACCGGGGGGCATCTTCCGCTGCCTCGATGGGGCACCAGGCAGAGACTTCACAGGTCTTCTGGTTCCCTTTGTACACAACGCACCTTCCCGTCTGGATTCCTGCCGGGGGGCGGGGGGAGGGGGCCGCCGGGGTCGTGGAATCACAGATGTCCAAGAGTCCGACGTCAGGGAGAGGAAATTCTCCCGGAGGGGCAGCCTTCCCTCAAGCCAAGCAGGATCCGGCTGATGCTCCCCGCCCTGCCCCCACCCAGGCAGCTTTGGCCTCCAAACCCCCAACACCTGCTGTCCCACCCACAGGGGGCTGCAGGGCAAAGCGAAGGAGCAGAGGTTAGAACAGCAAGTGTTTTAAGGCTTAGAGGCAGACTCTGGGTTACGTTGGCCTCTTTGGTTTCTTTACAAGAAGAGATGCCCGATGGGGCGTCTTCCCTGGCCTGGAATAGAGGGACGGGAACTCGGCCTCTCAAACGGGAACTGGAACCCTCAAGAGGTACCCGGCCTGTCCAGGGATGTGCAAAGCCACCGAGTAACATGGCTCATCTTCCTGGAGTGTGAGGAAGATCAGCAGACCTCCAAGAGGGAGTTAATTCAGTAGTGAGCAGTGTTACAGGGATCTCTTGTCGTATGTAAATGACCTTTCACACCTGAGCTTTGTGTGTGTGTGTGTGTGTGCACACATCGGCAGCACCAATGGCTTTTTCCCTTTTACTGTCATGTGGAGTTTAAGTTAAACATGAGAGAAGGACATGGTGCAAGGTTACCCCGAGGGAACAAGTTCACGCTTCTCAACCTTTGGGGACATTCAGGGGACGGTTTAGGATGCTATGAATTTTCTATCCACCGAGCCCTGAGCCTGCCAGGTTTGGGGGAGCTTCTCTCGCCGGGAAATTGTAGCCACATTCCCAGTCAGCAGCAGGTGTGCTGGGACCCAGTCGAGGCACAGGCTTGTCAGGGGCTGGTGGCGGTGGGAGAAGGCAGAGGAGAGCCCGAGGCTGAGGACCTGAACCACGCAGCACAGATGTCCCCAGAAGCTGGCAGGAAACAGAGGGTACCTTTGCTCTGTGGGTCCATCCATCCCTTTCTGCAGCCCCGGTCGGAGGAACAGAGCGTCCTGCGGGTGGGGTACTGCGGGGCAAAGGACAGGGTGGTGGGGGTGAGCAATGTGCTGCCGTCGTGGAGGAGCGAGTGTGTATGAGTGTGGGGACCCCCCCCCCCAGACACAGCCGAGGGACTGACATACGCTACCACAGGCATGAGCTGTGTGAATGGGAGTCCACGGACGGGAACCACCCAGAACAGGCAAGTCCACATGGACAGAAAGCGGGTTGGTGGTTGCCAGGGAGACGGAGAGGAGTGGAGAGTGACTGCTAGTATGCATGACGTCTCCTTTTGGGACAATGAGAACATTCAGGAATTAGTGCTGGTGTTTGTACAGCTCAGTGCACAGACTACAACCTACTGAACTGTCTACTTGACAGGGGTGGATCTTATGGTATGTGAATTATATCACAGCAAAAAATAAAACTGAGATAGCAGCTGTTGGGGCAACCAGGTGTGGCCCTCGGGGTGGCGAGCGGGTGGCCTGGTCCAGGAGGCCCTGTGAGTGATGTGGACAGGTGCAGAAGCCCAGCAAGCAGTGTGGAATATGGGACAACAGGCAGCCCTCTCTCCTCTCTCATTGGCCTGAAGAAATGAGGTCAGTTGGGTCTCAGGGCTGAAGGACAGAAGGAAGAAAAGAGAGCTGAGATGACCTGGTTTATGCATATTTGATTTTCCGTCTCCCAGGGAGCAGGATTAATGGCCTGCCTTAGGGGAGACCGAACACGGCCCAGTGTGGCGATGGGCTCTGCTGCCTGTCCCCCGTGCAGTCTGCGGCTTTCAGGGACACAGGGGACAAGGACCCCGACCGGCTACCCGTGGGTTTGGCAATAGCCATGCCATTTTCTAGCTGAGTGGTCACAGCCAAGTCACTTGCGCTCTCTGCACCTGTTTCCCTGTCTGTAAAAGCAGAGTGAGTGGACTCATCTTTTTTTTTTTTTTTTTTTTGGACAGGCTGAGTGGACAGTGAGAGAGACAGAGAGAAAGGTCTTCCTTTTCCATTGGTTTACCCCACAATAGCCGCCGCGGCCGGCGCACTGCGCTGATCTGAAGGAAGGAGTTTGGTGCTTCTCCTGGTCTCCCATGGGGTGCAGGGGCCAAGCACTTGGACCATCTTCCACTGCACTCCCTGGCCACAGCAGAGAGCTGGCCTGGAAGAGGGACAACCGGGACAGAATCCGGCGCCCCAACCAGGACTAGAACCCGGTGTGCTGGCGCCACAGGCGGAGGATTAGCCTAGTGAGCTACGGCGGCGCTGGCCATGGCCTTGTCTTATTTGGTGGTTGTGAAGATGACGTGAGTTATGGCAGGAAGGATGCGGCACACAGCACTCGCTCAGTGAATATCTCTGGTTGTTCCGAAAGTCTCCCACGTTCTCTTTTCTTCCCAGTTTGCCTTCTTCCTGGCACGCAGCATGCCCCTGTTGCCTCCCCATGACCTCACTGCCCCCTAAATTAGACTATGAGCTCTGAGCACAAAGCCTGGGTCATCTCTTTGCAGCCCAAGTGCCCGCCACATAGCAGATCCTGGTAAACATGGAATGAAGGCGTGAGCACAGCAAGGCACAGAGAGGTAAATTCACCTGCCCAGGGTCACGCAGCTAACAAGTCAAGTTTTGAACCATTGGTATTCTAGCTTCTGAGACCAGACTTTTAATCTTGGGGCTGCCCTAACTCTCTCCAGATCTCACCCCTTGGAACGTGTCTTTGCGTGTCCACAGGGGTGGGGGGCGGGCTCTGGCGATGACCGAGTGTGAGATAGAAGAGGAGCAGCGGCCCCAGGCTCAGTGAGAGGCCGGACCCTGCTGGGGAGTCGACCATTTTGCTGGCATGGCTGCCCGTCGCCTCTTCACAGTGGTAGGGACATGCGGGGGACAGGAGAGCCCAATAAAAATGCAGAGTTCTCTTTTAGGGGCGGTGCTACTTAGGCAAGCCAGTGTTCACTTGGCTTCCAGTTTGGCTAGAAACGATGGCAAAGAATGTCCTAGAAGCCAGCGCTTTTATGCAGAGCTCCCAGACTCAGAAAACTAGGCCCCGTCGCCAGGACGGGCTGGTGAGCAAGACCCCATGGCAGGGCTGGTCCTCCACATGGGCGTGGTCCCCACCGCAGACTTGGTGTGGCCAGCGGTCCCCAGTGGGGCACAGGTCACCTGGGAGGGGAGCGCAGCAGCTGACCTCTGGTTTCCATCCTGAAGGGCAGAGCGCGGGGCCGTGCAGGTTTGATAGGGAAGCAGTTCTCCTGCGAGACGCAGGGGAGCAGCCCGGGTATGAGCGGTCAAGGCCAAGTCAGGAAAGACAGCAGGGGCAGCCGTGTGCGCTGAGGGGGGGGGGACACGAGGAGGGAGGCACCCCGTCTGATTCAAACACTGACCCTCTAAGAAGCAGGGGGAACAGGCAGACGTGAGCTGTTTGACAACGCTCCCCGGCACTGGACGCAGGCTGGGGAGGCTGTGGATGAGGACTCTGGGGTTCTAACCCCGGCCCCGCCGCCAGCAACCTGTGTCTCCTCTGGCAAACCCCTCAGCATCCCTGAGTCTGTGTGCCGCCCTGGAGAACAGGCCTGGGAAGAAGGCCTTTCTCCTCCTACGGCTCTGATGCGGCTCCCGGAGAACGTGAAATGGCAGGCAGTTGGCCGTGAGTCACGTGGCCTTCAGCTGCACAGGGGGCACACAAGCCCCAGAAAGAGCTGGCCTCCGTCTTCACGGGCCCCTGTTGCTGGGGACCCAGGAGACACAGCCAAATCTTGTGGCCTTGGAGAGAGACCTCTGCCTCCCTCCACTCGGCCCAGGCCCGCCCCACAAGAGGCAGGTGCTCGTTGAATATTTGTGAGCCCCAACCCCCCTGGGTCCCCACTTCCTTTTTGCCTGACCTGCACCACCTCCAGGAGCCCCCTCCCACCCAGGGCACCCCTCCAGGGCCCCTGCCCGCTCCGTACCTCGGGACACAGCCGCCGCTCCTGGCCTTCTGTCTTGAGAAAGTTTGTCATCACGAAGAAGGAGTTCCGCTGCGGAGGGTGAGGAAAGTGCCTTTGAGAACAGAACTATTTAACCACAGTCATCCATCCGGCAGGCCAAGTGCCTGGGGGCGAGCCCTGCCTCCCTCCCAGCTTCTAGACACAGGGGCCCGTGGGCAGCACGGGTCTGCCCAGGGCTTAATAGCAACGCCGGAGTAGCTGCCTGCTGAGCTGAGGGAGAGCCACAGAGCCCGAGCCCGTGAGCTGTCATTTGCTGTTCCAGCCTCACGAGCCGCCTTCTCACTTTTTTGACACAGCAAAGTCCCATTAAATTGAACGAGGGAGGCGGGCGCGGGGGAGTAGGCGTTCATCAGAATTCCTGCACAGATTTCCTAGGACCGTAATGCAGGGGCAACAGGGCATCCCACCCGCCGGGCACCGGCTGGGTCTCAGCGACCCGCTGCTCCGCACAAACCCCCCCGCCCCTCATCTGTTCTTCCGCCTACTGGCCCCACATTGGTTTCTCCTTTGTGGCAATTCTGCTTGCCCACGCCTTGCTCTGAGACCCACACCTTTCCTCTCTTTGTCACCTACATCCTTCCTTCTGGCAAGCCCGCACCCACGAGTGGGCTCCTGGAGAGCCTGTTGTTGACCAAGTGTCCTGCAGGTGGCAAGTTCTACGCCCTTTCGAATCCAGACTTTGCTAACTCTGTGGCCCTGCTTCAGACGTGAATGAAGCAAACCATGGTTTGTTTTTCTAAAATTTTTTATTCTATTTGGGAGACAGAGAAAGAGCGAGAGCGCACACACCCACCTGCTGGTTCATTTCCCCCTATGCCTTCAATGGCCAGCGCTGGGCCAGCAATCAGGGTCTCCCATGAGACCTTGCACTGCTTGACAATGCTTCCCAGGACTGGCCCTGCTGACTGTTTGCAGCAGACCCTGGCTGGAGAGGCTGTGGATGAAGACTCCAGAGTTCTAACCGTGGTTCTAACTGTGGCTCTGCATCCGGGAAGCTGTGTACCCTGGGGGAAGTCACTCAGCGTCTCTGAGTCTATGTGCTGACCTGTAGGAACCCAATCACTCTTGCCTCCCATGGTCTGCATTAACAGGGAGCTGGAGTCAGGAGCCAGAGCTGAGAGCCAAACACAGGTACCCCAATGTGGGACGCAGACATCTTAACGGCAAAGCGAAACAGCTGCCCCTCCAATCACATTTTAAATGCTCCAGGACACGCTGCTATTTTGAGAATCCCTGTGGGACTCGGTAAAGCAAAGAATCATCTCTTTTGAGCTGCTGGATATGACCCAGATCTGCAATTTTTAGGTTGTCTCAGTTGGGATTTGCACAGAGCTTTTAAAATAGGGCCGTGTCATTCTGGAGTGAGGCCCTAAGTCCTAGGGGAGGAGCATGAGGCCCTGCGACGGCAGCCAGCGGCAGGTGCCGGAGGCGGCAGGTGCCGGAGGCGGCAGGTGCCTGAGGCGGCAGACAGGGGCTCACCTGCAGAGGGAAGGTGTAGTCCGCGGTGTCGAAGATGCTCCCCACCTCCTTCTTCACCCCGTTTTCCACGAGCACCTCCTTCACCTCGGCTATGCCTTTCACCTTGGTGTGCACAGAGCTGATGACAGGCTCCTTCCTCTGGTACAGCTTGTCACTCACCAAAGCAAAGCTGAAGGGCACACACGGAAAAGCATCAGCGGGTTTCCCGAGGGAGGCACAGCGCAGTGGCTTTGGTTGCTCAAATCTCAGCAGAGCTGCTCCCAAAACAGTAGGAACGGGTGTACCTACCTCATGGGGTTAAATGAGATACGCAGGGATAGGCTTCTGGTGCAGTGGTTAAATTGCCACTTGGAATGCCCGCATCCCATACTGGAGTGCCTGGTTTCCGATACAGCTTACCACTAACGCGCCTGGGAGGTAGCACAGGGTCTAAGTATCTGGGCTCTGGCTACTGACATGGAAGACCTGGATGGAGTTCCTGGCTTCACCCGCGTCCAACCCTAGTTGTTATAGGCATTTAGGTAACGAACCAATGGGTAGAAGGTCTCTTCATGTCTCTCTGTCTCTCCCTTGCTCTCTGCCTTTCAAATAAAGTGAAAACGAATTTTCGAAAAATGAAATCTGAGGCAAACTCCTCAGCGGAGTGTGTGGCACTCAGTAAGCACTCGTCACAGGAGAACTTGTCCTAACCCCATCCTTTCTTGTCGCCTAACGCTGACTCCAAGTTGTAGGAAGCTTCTCAAACAGTAGTCCAGCTGCAGCTCCGTGCACCAGCGCGGTCCATCAGCACCATCCTAGCCAAGGCTGTGTCTGGCGGCCCGCGCCCTGCTTTCCAGAGCCCCCATCTGCTGTATGGATGACACTGATCATGGCATCCTGACTTACGCTCCACAAACAGCATCGTCTAGTCCTCACACTGGTGTGTTACTGGGATGGGCTCCGAAAGGTGAAGCGCCTCACCCAGGGCCGCACAGAAGGCCGTCAGAACTGAGGCCCACGCCATGCCTGCTCGTAGCCCAGGGCCAGCCCTCGTAACTGCGTGCTCAACTCGTTCATGTGGGACATGGCCCTGCCTCTGGTTTCTTGCTCTTTCTTGAGAGTGTGGATCTAAGTTGTTGTGGTGTGAAGGTGGGGAGGGAGGGAAGTGGAATTAATATGCAATTAAAAATGGTAGATTCTGGGGTGGGGGGATTCAGTCTAGTGTTTCAGACACTGTCGCTCCCCCTCTTCGTGGAGGAACGACACAGGACCCTGCGCTGTTCTTTTGTCTGCTCGGCCCTTCCCGGGTTTGCTGCTGGTTCTTCCCGGGTTGGCTACCGACCCTTCCACCTCCGTGGAAGGGCGGTTCCCCCTGCCACCTTCCCCACTTCCGCGGGGGAGCGGCACACCGCCGGCCGGCCGGCTCTCTCGGGGGCTGCTCAGATGTTATCCGGATGTTCCTGGTGCATGTTGTCTCTCTCCTCCTTTATAGTCCTCTTCCACCAATCCCAACTCTGCTACCCACACGCCGAGTACGCTGCTCTCCTCCAATCAGGAGCAGGATCAGCTCTTGCAGCTCAGTCAATCAAATTGGTGAGAGGCAGCTGCGTAGAAGTTGTTACTCCCTTCTCAGCGCCATATTGTGGGAAAGCAGATGCATAGAATAAGTCTTAATTCCAGTAACAGTCTAGTCCGAGTTGCTCCCAGTTGCTCCCCACAAGACACCCACAGCCCACATCAGATTATCTGGATTTGAGTCCCAGTCTGGATCCTGACTGTAGCTTCCTGTTAATGCTCCCCTGGGAGGCAATGGTGTTAGCTCGAGTAATTGGGTATCTGGATTGAATGCCCAGCTCCTGGCTGTTGCGGGCATTTGGAGAGTGAAATGAGAGCTCTCTCTTTGTCTCAAGTACATAATAAATATTTTATAAATGATTGGTTGCAGCTCCATTTAAGTTTTCCTGTCTTCCATTTCCCTCAGAAATCAAGAGTTTATTTTAAATGCCTCATTTACTTATTCAGCGTGCATTTGTTTGGTCGCTTCTCTCCACCCTGCTCCTGAGTGAGTCAGGACATCAGAGTCAAGGGCTGCTCTCTCTCTCTGACCTTGGGAAGCCAGGACCGAGCAGATCAAGACTTGGTCCCAGCTGTTCTCAGCCTTGGCCGTGCAGCGTAATGCCCTAGGAAGCTTTCAAAACTGCAGTTCAGCCGGCGCCACGGCTCACTAGGCTAATCCTCCACCTTGCGGCGCCGGCATACTGGGTTCTAGTCCCGGTCGGGGTGCCGGATTCTGTCCCGGTTGCCCCTCTTTGTGGGGAGCAACTCGGACTAGACTATGTTACTCGAATTAGGACTTATTTTATGCATCTGCTCTCCCACAATATGGCTCTGGGAGAGGAGGAAACAGCTTCTACACAGCTGCCTCCAGTTCAACCAATAAACAGCAGGACCTGCTCCTGATTGGAGGAGAGCAGCGTACTCGGCGTGTGGGCAGCAGAGTTGGGATTGGTGGAAGAGGACTATAAAGGAGGAGAGAGACAACATGCACCAGGAACATCTATCTGAAGGAACACCTGTGCAGCCCCCGAGAGAGCCGGCCGGCCGGCGGTGTGCCACTCCCCCGCGGAAGTGGGGAAAGTGGCAGGGGGAACCGCCCTTCCACGGAGGTGGAAGGGACGGTAGCCAACCCGGGAAGAACCAGCAGCAAACCCGGGAAGGGCTGAGCAGACAAAAGAACAGCGCAGGGTTCAGTGTCGCTCCTCCACGAAGAGGGGGAGTGACATAATGGTGCCGTGACTCGGATATGAAGCCTAGGCAGGGTTTAGTGTCGTTCCTCCGCGAAGAGGGGGAGCGACACCTCTTCCAGGCCAGCCCTCTGCTGTGGCCAGGGAGTGCAGTGGAGGATGGCCCAAGTGCTTGGGCCCTGCACCCCATGGGAGACCAGGATAAGTACTTGGGTCCTGCCATCGGATCAGCGCGGTGTGCTGGCTGCAGTGTGCCGGCCGCAGCGGCCATTGGAGGGTGAACCAACGGCAAAAGGAAGACCTTTCTCTCTGTCTCTCTCTCTCACTGTCCACTCTGCCTGTCAAAAAAAAAAAAAAACAAAAACAAAAACAAAAACAAAAACAACTGCAGTTCCTGGGGTAGGTGTTAGGCCCTAGTGGTTAAGACACCACTTGGGATGCCTATACCCCACATCAAGTGTGGGGATCAGATGTCAAGTCCCAGCTCTGCTCCCAATTCCAGCTGCCCGTTAATGCAAACCCTGAGAGGCAGCAGTGTTGGCTCAAGTAACTTGGTCCCCGTCACCCATGTGAGAGATCTTGATTGAGTTCCTGGCTCCCGTTGCAGACATTTGGGAAGTGAACCAGTGGATGGCTGTTGTGTCTATATGGTTTCTCTCTCTCTTTTTCTCTCTCTCTTTCAAGTATACAAATAAATTTAAAAAGAGAATCTGCTGGTTTGCTTTCATCTGCTGGTTCTGTCTTCAAATGGCTGCAGTGGCCTTGGTTGGGCCAAGCTGAAGCCAGTAGCCAGGAAATCCATCCAGGTCTCCCACGTGGGAGGCAGGGACCACATCTTCCACTGCACATTAGCAGGGAGCTGGATCGGAAGTGGAGCAGTCAGGTCTCGAACTGGAGCTCATATGGGATGCCAGTGGTGCAGGTGGTGGCTTCACTTGCTATACCACAATGCCAGTCCTCTCTCTCTCTCTCTCTCTCTCTCTCTCTCTCTTAAAAGCCAAAGAAATCCACAACAAACCTGCAACTCCCCAGTCCCACCCTGGAGATGATGATTCAGGCAAGTCTAGGAATGTATCCAGATACCTACATATTTTTTAAGTTTCCCAGGTGATTCTAATGCACAGCCATGTCTGAGAACCACTGGGAGATGCGTGGAAAGACTGCAATGGCGAGTACATTGGATAAAGGGCACTTCCTGCATTAAAAACGCGTGGGTATCTGCACTAGGTAAACTCTCATGCATGTGCCCAAGGAGTTTCGTATGAGAACATGCATGCAGTGCAGAGGGAAAACTGGAAATAATCTAAACGTTCCCAATCACTGAGTGGATAAATTATTGGAGTTATACCGTGGGATGCCATGCAGCAGCGAAAATGAATTGAGTAGAGCTGCTTGTTATAGAAATAACACAATGTCAAGGAAACAGAGCAAGCCACAGTACGCTGTACAGTTTAATGAAATCCAAGGCTACAGTATATACTCAAATACTTGTACACAAATGTTCATGGCAGCACCATTCACAATAGCCAAAAGAGAAATAATTGAAATGTTTATCAGTAGGTGAGTGGACAGACAAAATGTGATCTGTCCATACAATGGACTGTTATCCAGCCCTAAAAAGGAACGAAGTTCTAACACGTGTGACAATGTTGATGAACCTTGGAAAGAAAGAAGCCAGCCACAACAGGCCCCACATTATAGGATTCCACTTAAGTGAAAGGTCTAGAGCAGGTAAACCCACAGGGACAAGGAGGAGGTTGGCGGTTGCCAGGTGACGGAGGGAGGGAGAAATGGGAAGTGACTGCTGATGTGTATAAGGTGTCCTTCTGGGAAGAGGAAAGTGGTGTGGAACTAGACAGATGCCAGTTGAACGGTGCTGAGAATGTCCTCAGTGCCACTGAATTGCTCACTTTTGTTTTTAAAGGATTTACTTATTTTGAAAGACAGAGTTATAGTGAGTGAGAGGGAGAGAGAAAGAGGGAGGGAGGGAGAGAGATCTTCCATCCACTGGTTTACTCCCTACATGGCTGCAATGGCAAGAGCTGGGCCAGGCTGAAACCAGGGACCAGGAGCTTCATCCAGGTCTCCCACGTGGGTACAGAGGCCCAAACACTTGGGCCATCTTCTGCTGCTTTCCCAGGCCATTAACAGGGAGCTGGATGAGAAATGGAACAGCTAGCACATGAGCCAGTACCCATATGGTTGCTGGCATTGCAGGCAGTGACTTATTCTGCTACACCACACGCTGGACCCTGAATTGTTTATTTTACAGTGGCTAATGTTATGTGAATTTTACCTCAATAACAAGATACAAACTATTATATTTTTATAGACATAGACATATGTTATAGAAGTATGAAAAGAAATAAGGGAATGAGCGGCCGGTGCCGCGGCTCACTAGGCTAATCCTCCGCCTAGCGGTACCGGCACACCGGGTTCTAGTCCC